TCTTTCCCTGGGAATCTTTCCTGAGCATAATGATGTAACCTCAGTTAATGTTCCCATTATTTATTTACTTTTTTTTATGAGCAGATGATAAGGGAGCATCTGCTCACAGCTTAACTACATAAACAATAAACTGTGATACATTCATGAGCAGAGGTTTGTGTCCCAAGAAAACAAAGCCATTAGATGGATACATAGTTAGTAATTTTCATAATGGTTATTGAGTTGCACGGCAATTAGGCATCCATGGTAAGCAGTTGATGTAAATTCTAGAAATAAACTTTTATATATCCAAACAAGATTTTTATAATTTCTCTCTTCTTGTTTAATTATCCAGAATTTATAAAGAGAAATATTGATCATTTCCCTGGCAGCATGTGCAGTTTAATTATCGTTTCACAGGCACCCCCTCCCCCAACACACACACACCCAATGGGTAAGCATGAGGGCACTCTGTGACACTTGCCCCGTTGCCCTGTCCCATAGCCTAGGGACTGTCCCTATCTCCCCTCCACTCCTCACCAGCGAGTGGAAGAGGGGGCTGCGGTGGTCCCTGTCCTTTCAGGGGGCAGTCTAGAGCTATGGGCAGAAGAGGGCATGAGGGTTGTCATCTTTGCACCCAGAGCGGTAGATGCTGAGTGTCACCAGCTTTGAGAACTACAGCCCTGAGCTCCTCCCCAGGAAAAGAGGCCTGCCTCCCACCTCAGTGACCTTGCCAGAGGCAACACCTTTGACCAGTGCAGTTAACTTTTTTTTTTTAACATCTTTATTGGAGTATAATTGCTTTACAATGGTGTGTTAGTTTCTGCTTTATAACAAAGTGAATCAGTTATACATATACATATGTTACCATATCTCTTCCCTCTTGCATCTCCCACCCTCCCTATCCCACCCCTCTAGGTGGTCACAAAGCACTGAGCTGATCTCCCTGTGCTATGTGGCTGCTTCCCACTAGCTATCTATTTTACGTTTGGTAGTGTATATATGTCCATGCAACTCTCTTACTTTGTCCCAGCTTACCCTTCCCCCTCCCCGTATCCTCAAGTCCATTCTCTAGTAGGTCTGTGTCTTTATTCCCGTCTTGCTCCTAGGTTCTTCATGACTTTTTTTTTTCTTAGATTCCATGTATATGTGTTAGCATACAGTATTTGGTTTTTTCTTTCTGACTTCACTCTGTATGACAGACTCTAGGTCCATCCACTTCATTACAAATAACTCAATTTCATTTAACGTTTAAAATGCAAGTAACCCTGAAAGAAGCTTGACTGCACAGACAGGAGGAAGAAGGGGATGGCAAAAGCATCCCAGATCTAAAGCGGGGCAAGAGTGTCACCCAGATGACAGGAGGGCCCAGAATGGGGAGGTTGAAGCCAGAGGCTTCTTAAAGGATACACTCTGGTTAAGGGATCTACCCCCTGCCTCTGCCTCTATTCAGCAAATCAAGGCTGTGCTAGGAGTTATTTTAGATTCGTCAGGCATGGGAGTAGGGAGAGGGAACATGGTCTCCGTTACACTGGGTTAGCCCTCAGTGGCTCTGAGACTTCGAGGTTTCTTGGAACACAGATGCAGCCTTGGTCATGGCTGTTCCATCCCCTGTGGAACTGATATGAGTTTCCTCTGTTTCTAGATATCCAGTCACAACTCGTTCCTTTTTATTTTTATCCCTTTATTTATAGTTGTATCATGTGATATTTTTTATCCAGTAGTAAAAATCCAGCCATGGATATTTTGGTTATACATTAGCTTGATGCTGACATATCAGTTATTGCCACCACCATCCTTCTAGTTACCTAAACTCTAAACCAGGAGTTCGTTGTCTTTACTTACTCTCATTTGCGTACCCCTCACACCCATTCAGTAGCCCGTGTTCCTTCTCCCTGCAGGGTATCTCAGATCTGCCGCCTCTTTTCTGTCCTCACTGGCAATAAATACCCTACTTCTTTACTTCTTGCCTGGACTATCACAGTGGTTTTTCCACTTGGTCTCCCTGCCTTTAGGCTTTCTCCTTTCAATCCATCTCACACTGCTGCAAGAACAATCTCTCTAAAGCTTAGCTATAATCATGTCACTTCTCTAACCAAAACCTTCTATTCCCTGCGTCAAGCCAGATTACTCACAGACACCTTCAATCCAACCTCATCTCCCCTTCCTCCCATCCTGAGCTCCAGCAAGACTACACCATTCTCTGCCCCTGCTGTACCCTCCCCCTCTTCCTTCTCCTCCTGTCTTTACACTGGGGCATCCCCTTCATCCTCATTCCTGAGTGTCTAAACTCCTCCAGGTGAAGCACGTTGGACATTCTGAAGGCACACAGGCCGGAGTTCTGCTTCAGACTTCCTAGCGTGTGATCTTGGGGGTGATAATAGCCCCTGCCTCATGGGGTTGCTGTGGGGCTGACCTGAGATCATCCGTGTAAGTGCCTGGCACGTAATAAGAGAACAGTCACAGTGGCTTTTGTTATTATCATCCCCATCATTGTCCTTCAGTGGCTAACTCAGGTGCCACCTCCTCCATGAGGCTTTCTTTCTATCCCAGTCTGAGAGGATATTATGTGGGGTGTCTGCTCCCCACTCAGGCAGTTCCACAAGGTAGCCATCAGTTGAGTCTGTTCCAGGGACAGGTCAGACTTACGACTTAAATGGAAAACTGGCCTTATTTATTAAACCCAGAGTGATTGGTGCCTTAATGATAAAGAGATGCTTCAACATACTATACCAGATTGCTGTGTCAAACTTCGTTTTTTATCTGTAATAGAATTGTCACTTTTTAAGTGATCTGAATGGTTAAGTTCCCAATATGAGGGTCCCAGGGAAACCAAACTAGGAATCAGAAGCTTCTCCCGCTCCTTCTGATGTGCTGATTGTAGAGCCACACCTTTCATCTCTCCGCACCTGTCTCCTAGTGTTCTGTTCACACTGCCTGTCTCTAGTAGGCGTGTTAGATCATGACTAAGCTACAGCCTAGTCCAAGTCTCTCTAAGAGACCATCTGCAGTAAAGTCCTCTGAGCTGATTGTCTAAAATGTAGATTCCCGGGCCCATTCTCACAGCTTCTGAACCAAAATCTGTGCAGTTTGGGCCCACGAACTTGCATTTTAGCAAGCTTACCCAAATAGTCTTTATGTGCACTAAACAGAGTTTTAAATCACTAACTTGGATTCTGTTCTGTGGACCTGAGAGAAATGCTGTCTTTATGAGTGTTCTTAATTTTTAATTTTAGTGCTTCTGGGGATTCTCAGTATTGCCCAGCCCCAGGGCGCCACTAAAATTTTATATCTTCTGCCTGTGTTATAGAATTTGCTTCCGTGTTCTATCTTCTCACCTACACTGTATCGTCTGGCCACACCTAGCAGTCAGTGCAGGAACTTAATTATGTTCAGTGTATGGTTATTAGACATTTGGCTTAAGTTTTATAGACTAATCAGGTTAACTTATAGGTTAAGCTTATTCAGAAACATATTTAAACCTGAAGTAAGTTATAGTTAAAGGCTTCAAACTTAAAAATTTGTCCTGATCTTAACTGAAAACTCATATGGTATAATTTGGTTGCTCCACAGAGAATGCTAACGTATTACATTCTTGGCACGATTCTTTGGTTTTAGCTTAGAGCAATAGGATATACTCTACTTGTCATCTGCAATATATTTTATGGATCAGAATTCCTTACAAGTCAAATTTTTAAAACTTTGTGAATAGCTATCATATATACGATTTAAACTGACTGAGACTCCAGATAAGTTTCTTTTTAAAAACTATTTATTTATGTATTTAATTTTTGGCTGCATCAGGGTGTCTTAGTTGTGGCATGTGGGATATTCGTTGTGGTGCGCGGGCTTCAGAGCACATGGGCCCTGTAGTTTGCAGCATGCAGTCTCTAGTTCTGGCTCCCGTGCACAGTAGCTGCGGCGCTCGGGCTTAGCTGCCCTACGGCATGTGGGATCTTAGTTCCCCGACCAGGGATCAAACCCGCGTCTCCTGCATCGGCAGGCGGACTCTCAAGCACTGCACCACCAGGGAAGCCCCCAAGCTTCTTTTTAAAATGACTGTTTTTAAGAAATATAAATAACAGTACACAGCATGGAAATTCCAGTTTGTTTCTCTAGACACGCGTGGTGAGTGTGAAACAGTGATGTAGACTTTTTTAGTTACCTCCCCTTCCCTCCACAATAAAGCATTTGGAAGAGAGTTTCGATCTATATACTTCTTTTCTTTGTGATTTGGTTAGAGGTTCTCAGACTTTGTAAATTGTTCTTCTTTCAGGACAGAGGCAGTAAAAAATTTTAAGATGGAGATAATTTTAAAGAAAAGTAGATAGACACCAACTTTAGACTTAAATTAGCCATATCTATTTTAATTTTATTATAAATGCTAACGTACACTGATTTGACCATCAGTGTACCGAAATTGCCTTGGAATTTTTGAAATTCTATTTTGAATCAGAAAGACTTACTAATTCATGAATAAATAAAGGTGAAAGCACCACATAAAAGTGTTTTTTTTTCTTTCCCACTAGGTTTATGTGATGGTGAGAACGACGTACATGGGGAAGGTATGAATTGATTTCACTTACCTGTGCTGAGTGAGATACGGACTTTAGTATTCATAACCTTCTTTCAACATCTGAACTAGTTAATACTCATGTTTTCAGGACTTCCCAAAATGCTGACAACTGCTGATGGGTTTAATTTTCTGAGATGCTCTATAAAATTAAGACTAGCCTTGATCAACCCCACGAGAAAGGAAATGTGTGGTTAGATTACAAGGCTCCTCATCATCTGAGTCCCACAGTCCCACAGTCACAAGGTTGTGCAGGGAAGCAAAAGTTGTAATCATGTGAAAATATTAATAAATTGGTCACTTAAGCCATTAGTTGTTCCAATATCCTTCCTTCCTCAGCTGTCTTTCTCTGCCTGTTTAGAAAGTTTTGTGAGTCAGTAATTGACAGATATAAATAATGTGAGGAAAATGCAAACTGATTGCAGAATGAAATTGCAAATCTTGCAGAAGATAATGAGTTTCATAAAGCTGATTAAAGTAATGTTGGAGGGCTTCCCTGGTGGCGCAGTAGTTGGGAATCCGCCTGCCAATGCAGGGGATATGGGTTCAAGCCCTGGTTCAGGAAGATCCCACATGCCGCGGAGCAATAGCCTGTGCACCACAACTACTGAGCCTGTGCTCTAGAGCCCGTGAGCCACAACTACTGAGCCCACGTGCCACAACTACTGAAGCCCATGTGCCTAGAGCCTGTGCTGTGCAATGAGAGAGGCCACTGCAATGTTGCATCGCAACAAAGAGTAGCCCCTGCTCGCCGCAGCTAGAGAAAGCCCACATGCAGCAACGAAGACCCAATGCAGCCAAAAATAAATAAATAAAATAAATTTTTTAAAAAAGGTAATGTTGGAGATCTACTAAATGACTCTCGAAGCCATTGACAAATGAGGGTCTGACACAGTTCATTTATTCATTCAGTACCAGGCACTGTTTTCTTTTCCCTAAAATTTTATAATCTGGAATTTAATTTTCATAATGTAGAAGTGAACAACTAAATTAGGTTTATGTATCGCAGCGGTCAGGACTCATGGGGAATATGATAAATGAGGAGCATCTTGCGCCAGAGGCACAATTCTCTTTCATCACCTTATATACTCGTTTCTGGGCAAGCCATTATAGGCCATGAGTAAAACCATGAAAAGTTGAAACAGCAATGAATATCTAATCCACTAGGACAGAGATAAAGAAATGTCTTCAAGGTTGTTTGCATTCCCCCAGTGACTTCTCTGAAGAATTCCCAACCAATCTTGGATATGAAGAGACTAAAAACAGTGAACTACTCTAAGGAAACAATCCCCTTTACGGTGCTGGAATACACTCCAGCCATACTCCTGTGACCAAACTCTTACAAGAAGTAGCCTTGAGTCATGAAGCTACCTCACTCAGCCCTTGAAGCTTTTCCTATCATCTAGCATTACCTTATAGAAAAATTTTTAAATTCTTGAGTCATTGTATGGCTTTATAAAGGCTCTCAAACCTATTATTCCTGTCCTCCAGTTTGTTGAGAGAGGGCTGTAGGGCCAGTGTTTACCAGGTACTACTTTAAGCACTGCCCACCAGTGCATAAAATAAAGGCCCTGCCATCATGGAACTTACATTTCTGAAGCAGTTTACGTTGACAGTTAGACAAGTTCACAAGGAAGCCAAGAAAAGGAAGAAAACAAGAAGGTTGACAAAATAAGCTTTTCCAAAGAGAGTGGTTTGACCATCAGAATTAAGACACACCTGGGATCATTGATAAAGCCTGGAATATTTGAGCAGAAATGACTGCTGTTGTGATGGTGCTGAGTAGGTCACCTGTAAAGAGCATTGCCTCATTCTCAGAATTTACTCTGAAATTTCAGTCTGTTTGAAGTGGCTTCTCTGGGGTCTGTCATCCTGTGTGGGGCTGAGACAGGACAGTCATGACAGTCACCCTGGAGCTTACATGGTCGCCAGAACCTAACAGCATTCGTAGCTCTGAGCGTCACCCGTCTCTCTAATGAATCCCCTTCCTAACATCAGATCCCTTAATTCCTGAGGGTTGGCCCTTTGTCTTCTTGTCTCTCTCTGAGAACAAGTTTTCCCTTTTTTATGGCTCAGCACTCCTGTTTTACCTGGCAGAAAGCCCTGGATTGGTCCCTTGATACAAAGCCAGGCTGTTTTACAGCCTTTAAGAGCCAGGAGAGGTCCCTTCAGCTGCCCAGCCTCAGTCCTCTGGGTTCTCAATTCCTCTTTATCCCCCACTCCCAGCCTATGACCAGGTAGCTTTACTGCCACCATGTCTTCCATGTAATATTCCTCTTCTATCTTTGTTATCTTCCTCATTTCCTCTCTCCTGGATTTTTGTGGGTCTCTCCTCATCCCTTTTCTTCCATCCTCTCCTCACCAAGTTTGAGGGCCCTTCCTGATCTGGCCTCGACCTTCCTACCCTTCTCCTTTACTTTCCGTACACTCCAGTTGAAAAGGGCAGCTCTGCTCAGTAGTCGTCCACCACTTCCTTTCTCTCTAGGCCTTTGTTCTTATTCCTCCCTCTCTGGGGATGTTCATTTCTTGTGTCCCTAAAGGGCTCGCCTCAGCACCAAGCCCCAGAGGCCAGCGTGGGCTCTTCCTGGTCTACCCTTGAGCAACACTGAGCCTTCGCTCTTGTGGGCCTCCCCCGGCTTCTCCTTCCAGACATGGGTATTCACATTTTGTCCTTTCCCCTGACTAGAGTGTAAAGTCCTCAAGGGCCGAATCCATGTCTTACTCACCTATGCCACACCCATAGTAATGCTCAAAACACCTTCCCTAGTAGACAGGCAATAAATACGTGTTAAATCAATCATTTTTATAAAGATAATTGGTTTGGCCAAAGGTGGGATGGCTTCCTTCTAACACAGTGAATGTGCTTCTCTCCCCTTTAGTTGTGTCTTTCCCCAGCCCACTGAAGGAAGAGAATCTGCTAAACGTTCCCAAGCCACTGCCAAAACAGCTGTGGGAGACCAAGGAGGTGGGTGGACAGCTATGTTTGTTGTCACTGAATATTTGTACTTCAGAGGTCATCGTCAAATTCTGCTGAGGAGAAAACAAGAGGAATTGGGAAAAAAGGCAGAGCGGATGTCTGGGGACAGAGATAGGAAGAATGTACTAGGGAATGATGGTTCAAATAAAAATTATCATTGTTAATGAATTAGTACAGCGATATCTTGCCTTCCTAATTTTCTGAATTTACTCATTCAGAAAAACCTGTTGGTCCCTCACATCTCATTTGTATTACAAGAAGCACTGAAACCTGGTTACAAGTCACAGGCAGATTTTTCTGTTTTGTAGCCAACACCGCCTTCCAGTCACCAGCTTCTGTCCAGAGTTGCTGGTTTACCAGATACTACTTTCTTTAATCAAGGCCATTTGACCCAAGTCCTCCAGAAGTGAGAAAGGAAGTGCTCTGTTAAATGGTTTCTAAGAGCCTTCGAGTACTTGTCCCTGTCTCCACCACAGCTCTCTCCGTAAACTCACCTGCTGTGGAAGAGAGGGAGGTCCCAGCAGTACCTGAGTTGGCCTTTCTTCCCATAGAGAAGCTGTTGCCTTTGAAAGAAAACAGTGTGTCTGCCCTGGCCCTGAGATGTGCTGTTGTGGTTGCTTGTATTGTCTCGTGTTTGACCATCGCCACCTGTTCAGACTTCCTTTAGTCAGTTCCAGTTTATTCTGCCAAGTCTACCAAAGTCATCGTTAGCATTAGGGTGGGCTTGAATGGTCTTTTGTGAAAGCAAGATGTTTTGATGTTTAGTCTTTTGGGGAAAAAAAGAGATTTAAAATTCACATACTTAAACATAGGAGAAGCAGCCCACTGTCTTTGGCTATGGAGGCCCAGGTGGTTTTGGAGGCTTTTATTGGAGGACAGCTGTATCTTCCCCACAGAGAGGGCAGTGGCATCCACTCTTCCCCAAGTACCAGGGAAGAGGTGCTCTCTCTGGGAAGGGGTGTTCGTCTCCTCTTTTAGTTCTTTTTTTGCCACACCACACGGCTTGCAGGATCTTAGTTCCCTGACCAGGGGTTGAACCCAGGACCATGGTAGTGAAAGTGCTGAGTCCTGACCACTGGACCGCCAGGGAATTCCCCTCATCTCTCTTAGTTCTTATGGATTTGCAGTTCTCCATAAATCATTTCTGGGCGAAGAGTTGAGTCAATAGGTTCATTCATTTTATATTTATATATA